AATTGCCCGAATCTACATTCTGAGAATTATTGGTGTATGCCATTAAAGCCTCAAACAATGATCAAAGTAAAAACATTTGAGTTGCCACAAATTTACTACAAGAAGTTGCTTCATCAATTGTTCTTTCTTTACCCCGCAATTTTCATTATTGCACATTCATGTATTACCAAAAACCATGATAACAATGAACTTCAACTTTAAAAGAATTGTCTATTAATGTGTTGTCACTACAACGGAGCAAAGGCGTATTGAAGATCATTGTCTCATTTAACCGGTGATCTGCATCAATCATCATATATCTTACGGAAATAATGTCGGATTGGCGAAAGCCTTTAGCGTTAAACAAAAATAAATAAATAATGAATCATAATAGAGGAAATATAATAGAATTCCTTTAATCGGATCACAGGTCTTCCTTCTTGAGCTAAAACGAGCATTTTAATCACGTTTTTGTGTCCAATAACCTGAGGACGACGTTAGCCCAAGATACTCCTACTAATAAGATTATTCTTGCGTATAAGGAATCGTCATTGTTTCCACTTTTTATCATTGGTCGGTTCTTGTTTGTTGGCAAAATGAATGAGGGTGAGAGAATCGGGAGCATAAGCAAAATAACTGTTGTTGTTTTTTATTAAGCGTATATTGCAGACAGTCACGATATTGAAGAATCAAGTGTACACAGGGGTAGCTCGAGGAAATACGAACGAAACGAAACGAAACGAAACGAACCAAGGGTTCTGTAATGTGACCACACAATGCCGTCTGCGGTAAAGTGAATTGCAATGCAAAGGGAATATTATCATTGACGGGCGTAATTCCTCTTTATTGAGCGCAGTAGCTGAATAATAATAACCTAGATAGTTTGTGTGAATAAACTAACCGGAGAGTGTGAACAAAAATACTGTATAATTTACATTCCTGTTCTACCAAACCTGTAAAAATGTCATCCCGTTTTTTTACCAACCATCACTTGATCCTCTTCGAAGGGGACTTCGGAAAACTTTTAGAATCACAAATCACATTGATACGACAGTCACATTAACAAAACCGGGTCACAATACGTACAGTATATCGAGTGATGTTTTGGTAACAATAGATAACGAATACAGTATAATCATTCACGTGAACTTGAAACACTGTAGTGAGCGTATTGGTCGAATAATCCTTGGCCAGTAATGGTGTTTCAGGGTGGATGATATCACCAGAAGTGTTTGCGATAAGGAAAACTGTTGCACGTTAACGGAAATTCTTGTTATCTCTTCGAATGTACGTTTGACCTCCTTAAGAAAAAGTTGTGTTAATCTTTACTTTTCTGACACATTTCCCCAATCCAGTGCGATGGGATTGACACACAAGTTTGATATCATCCTAGCATGTTATCTGAAACATGCAGCCCGTAAACATCATCGTGTTTGCTTCGCGGGAACCATGGTGTGATCTCAGGTTCACGGTTAAATGCCACTTCCGATTTGTGCATCGTCTTTAACTTTGGAAATTTCTCTGTGAACCTTGCTACTGGAGTCCACCAAGCCGTATGCAAGAAATCAATATAATTAATTAATTTAATTGATTGATTTTTGTGCGGTGTTACAATAAAAACCCTGTCTGCATCAAAGCTGTAATATTATTCTCGTAACGATTTCCAACCGCACTCAACCCGCGAATCCCAATAACATCATTATTACCTGAATTCTTTTTTTCCGAGTTTTTCGGGACACGAAACATGCGATTGCTATTGTTCTTGGTGTGGTACACTCTAGCCATCTTTCTTTCCCTTTGTAAAAGGTACGCGTAACACATTTAGGCTAATGCTCGAGAGCCTCATCGCAGCATGATGTAGAAACATCTACTTACGCGTCCCTATCGAACATGCACACGGGCGCACTTGAATGTTTTCCTTGTATACCACGTACGTGTGCATAGGTTAGTCTTTCTATAGGAGAATCATTCTGGCCATTTCCGTGATTATTTTGATGCCGAAAGGAGCCGTTATGCGGAGAAAGGTCGGCTTCTGGTTTCGGTCGGAAATCAATTTAGCCGATTTCGAAATGGAAATCAAGCCTCGGCTGGAAACGT